TCACGCTTTTGTACTTAAATGTATTTTATAAATTATATGCGAACTCTATTTCAAAGACGATAGTGCATTACATTCGCATAAAATTTACTCATCGAGAGTCATCGACTAGGCAAACTCATATAATCTTGGAAGTTTGCCAAATTATGAATATTAAAAAGTCCGCTTTTAGTAGGTACTTCCGATTTCGGTGTAAGCAAAAATATATGTATTTTTTTGTATTTTTTTAAATATAATTAATTGCTACGTCTGCTCTGTGTCGGCGGAGGAAGTTGTTTTATTTATTGACCTCGTTTTCTCTCAGCGGTGTTCTAAATTTATTATAGTAAAATGATTTGTAGAAATTGCTGAATAATTTTGTAGCTTTCATCAATATGGCTGGGTGGTGTGAAGCGCTTAGCACTAGAGCTCTGTGTGAGCCGTGGGTTCAAATTTCGTAAGGAAAAAGCGGCATTGTAAGCCACGCTGCAGCTATGTTATGGTTGTTGCACTAATGCGTCAACTCGACGGGGAAGGAATGCGCTCTCACAGAATACCAGCGTGAAATAGCTGCTTATTGCTGCTGTGTTTTGTATGGTGAGAATAGAAAACCGAAAACCCTTTTTCCTGGAAACGAGACACTTTAGTGCTTGGGGCACCTACTTACCATCAGTTGGAATATGTGCTCGTTTGTCACCCTTATTCTATAAAATAAACCGCTTGAAATTAGTTTTTGTAATAGTTGTTTCAGGTCTGGATGCTTGTCCTGTGCAGTTTATGTAAAAAAGCCTTCACGACACTTCACGAAAACATAATGCTAGGTAAATGTACCAAAAACATATGAACTAACCAGACTAACTTTGCCAAAAGTACTTATCCGTTTCAGCATTTTCCAATTGGTCAATTCAATTATGAATATCAGCTTAAGATTTATGGACCTGGACAACAACGTTAGCCACCGGGTCCAATTGTAAATTGAAACCATTTTCGGATCACCAAGATCGGTCCAGCCCTTTAGGAGGAGTTCAGTCACACACACACGGACAGAAGAATTTTATATAATACTGGGTGATTTTTTTACCGTCTAAAAATATGACGTAAGAGGTGAACGGAATAGAAGCCTATGGCAAAGATATCTTACTATTTTTTTTACATTTACATGTTGTAAAACTGATCTATCAATAAATAATACTAATTGGGTGCGTATTATTTTAATTTCAATAGTTTTTAATTTATTTATTTATTTATTTATTAGGTTCTCCAACAGTTATAACACAATACATTTGAATAAAAAAAATACAAGTTCCAACATGTCTTAAGCTAAGTGCATAACTACTTATAGGGGAACACATCATGCGTTTAATAATGAAATAAAAAAGTATAGTTATCATAAAGTTACCTCTATGTGAAAGAACAATCATTAAACCTATTTTAAGTTATTTTTTAATAAATTACAGAAGATATTTTTTGGTGACAAAGTCCCTGATCTGTTTACGAATATGTTCAGAAGAATCAAAATTAAGATCTACCAATGTACTGCATTCATTGTAAAGTCTACTCAATCTAGGAACAGGAGAGAAATGGCCAAGTTTAGTCCTACGCATTGGTGGGTTTATAGGCTGAATAGGCATTCTCGGAAGCCGAGAAGGTATTCTGAAGGAAAAGGAATTTAGCAAAGGAGGACAGTCTATCTTATTATGGAAAAGCTTGTATACAAACATCAAATCCGAAATGTCACTTCTTGCTTCAAGTGGTAATAACTTAAAAGTGAGAAGCCTACTTTTGTACGATTTTAACGATCGAGCTTTATCTACAGAGAACGCTACGTGCCATAGAAACCTTTTCTGAACCCTTTCCAAGCGTAACGTATGTGTTGCGAAATGGGGCCTCCAAACAACACTGCAGTATTCCATAATGCTACGAACAAAACTGTTATAAAGAATCATCTTGGTCTTAACGGTCTTGAAAATCTTTGTATTGCGTATAATGAAACCGAGCATTCCGGAAGCTTTTTTTTGTAATATGGTCGAAATGTGTTATAAATGTAAGCTTGTTATCTAGCAGCACGCCCAAATCACGAACACTGTCAACTTCTCCTAATTTGATACCATTGATTTGGTATGACGAATTTGTAATATTTTGTTTGCGTGTAAATTTTATATGTGTACACTTTTTCGCGTTGAGGACCATATTGTTTTCGTGACACCACCTTGTCAACTTATCTAAGTCTGCTTGCAGGAGATTCACATCATCCATGGAATCGATTTCACGCAAAAGTTTAAGGTCGTCAGCATATAAAAAAGACTTAACATTATTAAGATTAAAAGAGACATCATTGACGAAGATGTTAAACAAAACAGGACCGAGGTGCGAGCCTTGTGGCACTTGTGATGATATTTTATGAGTTTTAGATGAATAACCGTTAACTACAACGAAAAAAGATCTGTGATTTAGGTAAGAACTGAACCATTTCAATAAGGATCCATGCACACCAAAGGCTGAAAGCTTACAAAGAAGGAGGCAATGAGATACTTTATCAAACGCCTTGCTAAAATCCGTGTAAATAACATCAATCTGTTTGTTCTTGTCCATAGACTTAATCAGCTCTTTGGTGAAGCACACTAAGTTTGTCGATGTCGATCTACCCCGCGTAAATCCGTGTTGTTGGTCTGTTAAAAATTGTTTGAAATAATTTTGAATTAGGGGAGTAATCAATGACTCCATGACTTTACCCATTTGAGGTAGGCTTGAAATTGGTCGGTAGTTTCCTATTATATTTTCACCGCCAGATTTATAAATTGGCACAACTTTAGCCACCTTCCAGACTTCGGGGAAAACTCCAGACTTGAGAGAAAAATTAAATATGTAATGTAGTGGAGTGACTAAATTTGATGCAAATTAACCAAAAAAATGTCTGGAATCTCGTCATATCTCGCTCCCTTCAACTTATCCAGCTTGGTCAAACTTTGGTAAATCATTTCTTCTGTCAGGTTAATGGAACTGAAAAAACCATTGCAATATGTGATCGGTTGTGACTGTTGACTAGATTGATTAGACTGTTCACTGTAGACAGAGGAGAAGAGCGATGCAAAAAGATCACAAATATGTTGACCATCAGACGTTGTTACAGAACCATCTGTCATCTCGGCCGGATATGAATTCAGACTGCCACGTTTCGATTTGATAAACGACCAAAAGAATTTGGAATTAATGGTAATATTTTCTTCAGTGCGTTTTATATAGGAATTGTAGGCTTCCAACGATAGTTTTTCACATCTTTTTCTACAAATATTCAATTCTATTTTATCTAACGGATTTTTATGTTTTTTGTATCTAAGTCTTATTTTATTTTTTTCATGTAATGCCTTGATCAAACAAGAGCTAAACCATTTCGGAATTTTTTTTTCGTTTTTTTACCATTGGAACGTACTCTTTAATGATTTTATTAAGTTTATCATAGAATATTGTTACCATGTCGTCTACCTTCTCTATTCCGAAAAAAACTTGGGACCAGTCGATTTCCACCAGTTTTCGGTTAATCATTTCATAGTCAGCCCTAAAAAAGTTTCGACTAGTGAAGTTATAATTTTGTGCTAAGTTATAATACTTTTTTGATTTTAAAAGTATTTCTAAGGGGGGATGCAGCACATCAATTGCAGACAAAACATCAGTTGCATGGTCTACTTGAACTAATAAATGTGATTGCTCCAAAAACACTAGATCCAGGACTTTACCCTTAAAATTCGGAATTTCATTGTACTGTTTAAAGTTATTCATACAAGCAAAATCAATTAGTGTCTGACATAGTATTGATTGAGTGGCAGAGGATGTATTATTTATTTCACTCCATTCTATTTGGCTTAAATTAAAATCACCTACAATCATTGGATATACATTACTTTCTACGTACTCTAAAATTTTATTACAATTTTCAGTAAATCTGTTTAGAATAACATGATTAACAGGGGGTGGTAGGTATACTGCGCAAAGTGCGATATTATAGTTGGGGTTTGAGTCTATGCTAATTTTGACCCACAAATCCTCGCATATACTTTGCCATTCAGTTATGCGTCTAGCATTAAATTTTTTAGCAACAGCAATCAGCACACCACCTCCTCTCTTATCATAGTGAAAACCAGTGGTTTCCCCGTCCCTGCGAAAAACTGTGTATCTATCATCAAAAAGTTCAGTACTGAATACACTCCTATCTAGCCATGTCTCCGTTAAAATAATTAAATCATATTTGCTACAGCACAGATTACGGTAAAAATTATGCGTTTTAGTTCGCAGTCCACGAGTATTCTGATAATAAATATTTAATTGAAGTTCTACGAATGAAAAAAGAAAAAAAAAACCAATGCATGAACACAAAATAAATAAAATTTAACTTAGTACCTATTTAACTATTCTAATTTAGATAAGTTTTTTCTGACAAAAATTTTTCCATTCCTGACCCAGACGTACTTGAAGCCTTTCTCGTTTGCTTTTTTCCTTGTAGCAGCGTGTAAGGCCTTGTTTGCAGGTGAGAGATGTTCTGAGACAAAAATTGGCGTTCTTGCTCCAGGTATTCCGAAATGAGTGCTATTCAATTTATTTTCAGGATTGCTCTTGTTGAAAGTTATTGTTGCTGCCAGAATTTGATCCCGGGTACGAGTGGAGTCGAGCTGAACGACTATTGAACGAGGTCGAGAGCTTTCGCGATTCACTTTCGCAATACGTGCACAGTGGAGGATGTTCTGTTCGGATATTTTATAATTAATTATAGAGCCCAACCGAGTTACTAATTCAACTAAACTTTCATTTTTCTTTTTCGGCATGCATTGAATCACAAGTTTATTAGATCTTGCTGCTTGTTCTATTTGGTTTATACGAAAATTTATATCGTTTATTGTGGGATGAAGTTTATCACTCTTTATTTGTAACTCCTGTATTGATTTTTTGGATGCTTTAAGCTCCTTTCCTCATACTGACTACTCATAAATGACATTGACTCTTTAACGTCTTGTATTTCATCTTTGATGGATTTAAGTTGGGTGTTGAGCAAAGTGCCCATTGAGATGTTTAGTCAGTAAATTCCTCAGTTCCCGTTGTACTACGTCTTCAATTATGTTGCGGAGTGCTGTGTTTGTAGCATCGTCCGCGCCTTCAAGTAAATTCCCAATTGGAGGAGAGTAGACGGCTGGGCGTTTGCTAGGTCTTTTTGCTACGTTATTTGAAGCAGGAGCTGATGTGTGGCGGCCCCCGTCACTGTCATTTTCAGTTTTTTGAGATATTGTACACGGCGGTATTCTTTGCGTACTCATTTTGCTTATATAGTTATTATATTTTTTTTCTCTTTTTTATACTAAATAAATAAAAATATTTTTCTGCTACAACGATAAGATTAGTTCCGTCCCCTGTGTGGATTAGAACCAGGGCCTTCGTATGCGTAGCAAGGGCGCAGCTACTAAAACCGCTGCGCCAACTAAGCTTACACGTAAGTGGGCGAATTTAATAATCGCAAACAACTGTCGATGAATGATTTTTGAATAGTTAGCTATAATGTGGGTTGGCTAACAACACACACGAATAGAACACTTCTAACTTTTTCCGGGTGAGGGTGATATTGGATAAACCGGGTTTGCAATGAACACTTTTTTAACGTTTTTATGGTCAAACACTTAATAATTTGAGAATATTATATTGTACACAGTAAACTAAATGGTGTTAAGCCACTTTTTTCCAATAAAGTTTTTGGTAAACGTCACTTTTAACAGTAGTATGATTTTTCGAACACAGAGGTACACTATTTACGTCTTCTCGCTCGCTAGCGCGATAATCTATCAAAGCGGCACTGAAAGCCACGCTGCAGCTATATTATGGTTGTTGCACTAATGCGTCGACTCGACGGGGATGGAACGCGCTCTCACAGAACACCAGCATGAAATAGCTGCTTATTGCTGCTGTGTTTTGTATGGTGAGAATAGAAAACCGAAAACCCTTTTTTCCTGGAAACGAGACACTTTAGTGCTTGGGGCACCTACTTACCATCAGTTGGAATATGTGCTCGTTTGTCACCCTTATTCCATAAAATAAACCGCTTGAAATTAGTTTTTGTAATAGTTGTTTTTCAGGTCTGGATGCTTGTCCTGTGCAGTTTATGTAAAAAAGCCTTCACGACACTTCACGAAAACATAATGGTATGTAGTAGGTAAATGTACCAAAAATATATGAACTAACCAGACTAACTTTGTCAAAATTACTTATCCGTTTCAGCATTTTCCAATTGCTCAATTCAATTATGAACCACAGCTTCAGATTTATGGACCTGGACAACAACGTTACCCATCGAGTCGAATTGTAAATCGAAACCATTTTCGAATCAACTTTATCACACACACAAAATTTCATCAAGATCGGTCCAGCCCTTTAGGAGGAGTTCAGTCACATACACACGGACAGAAGAATTTTATATAATACTGGGTGATTTTTTTACCGTCTAAAAATATGACGTAACAAGTTAACGGAATAGAAGCCTATGGCAAAGATATTTTACAATTTTTTTTTTACATTTACATGTTATAAAACTGATCTATCAATAAATACTACTAATTGGGTGCGTATTATTTTCATTTCGATAGTTTTTAATTGATTTATTTATTTAGTTCAAAATTTTTGTTTTTATATTTTAGTACTAAAAGTTTCTTTCAAATTAGTGTTATTATTTGAAAGTTCAATTTCTTAATATGTTGATGTAGAAGCAAAAAATTTGTTAAATATCAGTGCAATAGGTTTCTATTCCGTTCACCTGTAATACTCAATTTCCAGACAGTAAAAGAATCACCAAGTATAAAGATAATTTTTTTAATTTCTCTGATAATCCTAATGTTCCCTCATTCTCCCCGCCCTCCTGTAACAATAAGTGCTGTCGCCGCCTAAGAAGATTAGTAGCAGGTTAGATTGTGGTGCTGTAAATCACCTAAAATATCATTAAGGGGTTAAAATAAAACACTATGAAATACGTAAAATTTGCTTTATTAAAACCTATGCATATTTTCTTCATTATTTCTGGGCCGCTTACCATTTCTGAGAATTTTCGGCGGGTAACATTAGTTTTCCCGCCGAATTGTCGCGCTGCTTCAATGTGTTGGTGGACTTCACATCATCACGTTGAATTTTACTAATATGTATTTATTTATTTAATTTATTTCAGATACATAGTACAATAAGTTGTTGCATTAACTTTTACGATCATTGACATGTCTTACCGGTTTCGACGATGTAATTGCAAAATAAATTAATAACGTCACCATAAAGGTCAAGTAACTTAAGGTCAATCATAAAATGTTATGTTTAATCTAATAATAATAATAGTATATACATTAAATATAGCAATATAATCATTTATTTCACTATATTAAATGTATATTTATATTATCTTTTGTATATTTACTAACAAAAAGTGAAGTACATAGTTTCAGTACTAACAGTAATGACATAAACAAAAAAAATTAAGAAATATTGATTTTTTTTCATGCTAACAGGCGTTATTATTGATTTACCACAAATTCGTACTTCATTATCATTATCAACTCCAGCCCTTCACAGGTCCAGTTGGTACTTAAAATTAGCAAAAACAGTTCTATTATTGCAACTGTGCAACAAACTTGATTTTCTTGAATACTATGTTATTTTAAGGCAAGCGCGTATTCCTCGCGTTACTACAGCTCCATCCCAAGTAGAAATAATATAATTTACATTTTAGCACAAATATTGGATTAATTTTTGGTTCTTTGTTTTATTAAGTATTTTTTGAATGATAGTTCAAAAATATCCATATTATTTTCTCATTTATGGTCTTTTAATCAGTGATAATCGCTTAATTAAATTACGTATTACTTAAAGGAGACAATCAATTTTTGTATGGAGAATGGGCCCACCACAAATTTTCGCGTCACGTAATGAAATGCATGTCAATTTATTCCTTATAATCTATAGATTACAAAAGTAATATTAGTTTTACCAAATTTAAACGGAAAACTGAGAAATTAACAATTAAAATATGAATTTTAAAATAAACTAGAAATAAACTAAAAGCTATTTATAAGGGTTTTTACCGGTATTTTAAGTTAAAATAGTGCATTGTTGAATAATAGTTCATATAAAACCAAGTTTTAAGTACAGTCAGCATTTTCAGGTACTTCAAAATCCATGGAAAATCTTTTTTAGTAGTTACGGCAAAATATAGTGCCTGTCTATGTACAAATGTGGTATGGATACTATTTTTTACATATATTGATTGTGAGTGTATTGTGTGCTTTCCAATTACCGTTAAAATAATATGATTAAATTCAAGATGACTAAGGTATAATATGTCCATTTATATTTATAATATTACCAACACACGTTATATAGTAAGAAAGATGTTTTAAACTGACTGTGTAAAAAACAAGTTATAATGCAACCGTATTTATAGATAGTAAATCATCATTTCCAACTTAGTCTTTCAGACATATAATTCAGATCTATTAATGCAGACAGACAGACAGGCCCGGTGTCAAGACTTTTTTTAATATGCTTTGGTAGATTATTAAATAATTAATTATACATCTTAAAATGACTGGGTTCTAAAATACCAAAATGACTAGGTAATATCATGCTTATCTGTTATTATACACTGATAAATAGTGAGGAAGTAAGATGTTTTGAACTGTTTGTGCCAGGATAACAAACACACAGGTATAGTTTAATTGTATTTATTATTAGCGATCCGCCCCGACTTCGCACAGGTGATTTCTGGATTTCGACAACAGCGCAGCGAGTCCATATGTGAATATGAATCATATAGAGACCCATTCAAACACACATAAACATTTCATCAAAATCGCTTGGATGGTTTCATAACGGACATAGGTAGAAACATTTTTCGTGTTTTCATATCAAAAGATCATATCAAAAGATTTTTTTCATAATAACTTGATGGTAACATTTCTATTTATGATATGATATTGATATGTAATAAGTCCCAAAGATCATGTATAATCACTGCATTAATTATGGTAAAAATGGTCAGCGTTTTATGAGTCCTCTTTTAAAAATAACACAGCAGACAGGTGCAGTGCCGGCCCTTTGTTCATTAAAGTATTCATCTATTAGCAAGTATAAATCACATACATCATTAAAATATAATGTCTCGCCCGTTTATGATATTATTAGAAATCAGAAGGATATTGACAATTAAAAGAGATAAAAAAGGGTGCCAGAGCAATAAATTCAACTTTGCTCGGCGTTTATTTATAAATTACACATACAACATAATATATAACAGATAATAAAGCACACAGTAAAATAGAAGTAGTAAAAATATAATAAATAGTAAAACAAATAAGCAACAAAAATTAAATATATATAAAAAATAGTAAAACAAATAAGCAACAAAAATTAAAATTTTTGTGATCATTATTCATCATCATTACAACAATCCACTGCCGAACATAGGGCTCCTAAATTAAAGATATAATGTAAAATATTACAGAAGCCTTCCGTGAATTGCCATCTCGTTCCGTCCCGTATGGTGTCGTGAAAGTCGACAGAGTAAAATAAAAATACCAGGAGATGAGCAGCAGCATCTTCCTATAGAATAACACAAAAAACTTTGGTTGCCACAAGTGGAGCAACTGTAGCAAAAATCATCATTTATATTACAATATTAATACTAATATACAATATTAATAATAATAATCATCATTCATCATTTTCAATATCATTACTTGAAAGTAATACATTATTTAAAATAGATGCAGGTGGTTCAACCTCATCTCGATGCCGTGCCCAAGATAGAAACCAGACAACAGACATGACATGTGCACAGCAGCCAACAGTGCGTCTGCCTACTAAACAGTTGCAACAGTACCCAGTAAGAGCAGCCCTAGTGTTAGCAATTGATGGGTTGGTGTCAACTAGTATATAAGTGTAATAAGTTTTTTTACTAGTGTGCCTTGATTGTATCCTACCTCGCAATAGATAACTATTTGAACCAAAATCATGGACAGATTGCAAGTATACCTCGATCTTATATTCTCCAGAAGCCCTGACATGCTCCCCGTAATAACTACGAGCTTGTTTAATTTGATAAATTCCTAGGCTAAACAGAATTAGATCCTGGAATGTCAGTTGAGGAAAATTATCCAGCTCTGGAAGATTACCATTAATGCTGGCAAATCGCACTCTCACTATTTAAATTGTGTATTTCTACATAGGAAGCTAAATTATTTGGAGTGTTTAGTTTGGCTTGAGCAATTGCCAATATCTCTACTGCATGAAA